CACAGGGTAGATAGGGACGGGCAACTTAGACACTGGCTATCTAAAATGAGGGGGCAATAAAGGCACCAAGTGACTGGCTTACAACGTTTCAAGAGGAGTTTAGTTTAAGAGTATGGGGGGAAAGAAAGAGTCCCCACTGAACAGCTGTCATATTGTCTAGACGGGTCTGGTGAAAAGAGATGGGGATAAGATTCATAAGATTCAATAGTGAATAATTGTTATCATGACTAATCACGACTGTCGCAATTGTAAAGGTAGAAGTTTTATAACAAAGAAAACGGAGTGGTTAATCTTACAGTCCAGAAACAGAGGACCCTAGGACCATCAAGAGAGGAATGCACAAGCAGAATGCGGGACCTTATCCAGAGAAGCAGCAGTGCCAGAGATAGAGGCAATGATGGGAACATGGAGAGGGGGAGGGGCTGAGGACTCTAGATTCATGGACTAAGAAGAGAAGGACTAAGAACTGGAGGCCAGGAGGAGACTTGTGGAATGTGCCCTTTGGAAATGTAAATTATTATATATGCCTGAGTGACTTTTTTTGTTTGTTTGTTTTTTTAAAAACTAAAGTGGATAGAGAGAAATACTGTTAACTGATGGTACATGGAGGAGATTATAATCAATGTAATTTGATTCGTTGAATGTAAAACTGATGATATGCCCTGTAAACTTTCATTCAATCTACAATAAAAACCTTAAAAAAATTTAAAAAAAGCAAGGATGGAAAGAATTTGTCTCACATTTTTGGAGATGCTATTAGGAGGGAGGAGTCACTGGAGAAGGAGGTCATGCTTAGTAAAGTGGAGGGTTGGGGAAAAGGAGAAGGCCCTCACTAAAACCGAGTGAGACAGTGGCTGCAACAATGGACTCAAACAACACTTGTGAGGATGGCACAGGACTAGCCTGTGTCTCATTCTTGTGTATGAATCAGAACCAACTCAATGGCAACTAACAGTGACTTTGAATCATTCAGTGATACCTTGACATCCATGAAAGATTGGGTAGAAAGAGGCAGGCTATATTTTCTAGCAAAAAAAAAAAATTTTTTTTTAAAATCACTTACTAAAGCTCCTGGTGTGGTGCTGTCTGGAAATTAGCACTGAACTGATAACCACCAAGGTTGGCTGTTCAAACCCACCAGCCGCTCCCTGGAAACCCTATACAGAATCGCTTAGAGATGGAACCGACTTGATGGCACTTAACAGCAACAACCAAGGTCTCTGGGTGGCACAAATGGCTAGCACCCTGGTGGTACTACAGTATAAGCATTGGACTGCTAACCACAGCTTGGCAATTCAAACCCACCAGCTGCTCTTTGGGCGAAAGATGAGGCTTTCTGTTCCAGCCTCGGAAGCCCTATACAGGGTTGCTGGGAGTCAAAATTGAATTGATGGCAGTGAGTTTGTTTTGGTTGGTTTGCTAACCTTTGGTTGGTTTGATGATTCAAACTCACCCATTGATACTGAAGAAAAGGCCCAGAGTTCTTTATGGTTACAGCCAGGAAATCCCAATGGATCTTAATTCTACTCTATAACATATGGGTTCACCATAAACCAGCCATTGACCTGATGGTGATGAACAATAACAATGTTCCGTATGTCAGCCTCAGGTTCTAGAGATGTGCCATCCTTAAGAAAGGAATGCAGAGTCTAGTGAGGTAGCTACACATCTGTACCCAAAGGGACCTCCAAGACAAATGTGAGGGGATGGGACCCAGATACAGGGAGTATCCTGGGAGCACACAGCGTAGTGAGGACTCAGCCAGCACCAGCTAACAAGGGTAGAAGAAGTTGCTGAAGGATTCCATGTCCCTGACCCAACCTATGGAGGTCATCCCACCTTCCAGGCACTATCATTGAAACAGCAATAAGCAACGATCATCCTCCCCTTTTCACTCTTGTTACTTTGGGGGTTTTCTTGTTCTGTTTTGTTTTGTTTTCTGTTTGGTTTCCCTCCCACCCCGCCGCTTTCCTCCTGTTGTCCACTCCTAGTTCTCCCAGGTGACCAAACTGATAGGTCATCTTGGGTGTTCAATGAGCAGAGCACCAAGATGATCTCACATAGATGCCTGTCTGTTGGCCCAGCCTAGGCTAGCAGTGAAGGGATGGAGCTGGGTGTACAAATATGCAAAGCCTTTGAGAAGCAGGAAAGGGACCTATAATACATGACACATGGTCTGGGAAGGAGGCCTTGATCTGACCTAAGGAAAATGATTGTGTGTGGAGAGGGGCTTCTAGCACCGCATCAATGACTTGTAAGGGACAGCTTCCCACCCCCACTTGATTTGACTAGGGGTGGAGACATCCCCTGATTCTCAGAGGCCAGTCAGTGTCAGCCTCCCAGAGTGTGATGTCACTTTGGGAGGGTATGGGACGCCACAGTATTGAGGTGGGTTTTGTTGGAAAGAAGGATAGAATTCAGAATTAATGTATATAAGGAATACATACTTCTGGACAGAGAGGCACTCATTCTGTTTGAGTTGATGACATTCCCTCCAAACTGCCCCCTTCCTAAATGTGTGCATTATTTAGGATAGTGACTTTCAGAAAGCCTCTTGAAAAAGTTTAAGGCACTCTGAATTTCAATATTAACAGTACTACCAACACCTCCTCTTGCACTCCCAGATGCCACACCCATGGCCCTTTGGCCACAGTCCAGTGAATCTGAAAAGTTCCTGTTCGGAGGATGACTCTCGTCATTTTAGAAGGTATCTGTTCTGACACACTGTGCAGTAGAATGAGGTCACCTCCTTCATGCAAACAGATGTCAAGGATACACTCTAAGGGGGTGAGAGGTCAGAGCTGTTCCAAGGGACCCATGGACTGGTGGACCGAGACCTGCTCTGTGTCTACAATGGACAGGAGTCTAACCACCCCCTCAATGTTAGGAGCCTTATATCCCATATTTAGAAGGTTCAGAGACGAGTAAAAGTCCCAAGTACCATGCCTAGAATTCAAACCCCACTCAGTTGGTTTCTTCCACCACTCTGCCTCTCTCACCTGAGACTGACAGAGACAGTCAGTGGGTGACACGATGACTCAACAAACTTGTGCCATACTTTTCTTGCAACACGTCTGTGCCCATCATGGGCAGGGTGTGGCTCTCACGCTCCTGGAACCCCAGAACTTAGAAGGCTTTACATGTATGTTTGTGGAAGGAATGGCCTGAGGGACAATAACATTTTTCTAGATGCAGCAGAACTTGCAGAACATGAAAAGTCAAGCTGGAAAAGTGGTTCAGCTTAGACTATTTAGGGTCACATTTCCTTCAGCATGAGAATGGCTACAGATCTAAAAGTGCCCCTGAACCAACTCTACTCGGCAGCCAACTGTGTACAAAGCTCACACTAGTGTATGGTCTCCCAGGTCTACTGTCCTGTGTACACCCAGGTCTCTGTAGTTGCTCCTGGGAACAAGGAACATGGAGGGTGACACAGGCCTCAGGCTGTTGTGTTGTAGGAGTGGTCTACTTCCTCCATCCCCTTTACTAACTTTGAACTCTACACCCAGCTCAATGATGTCTATCACAGCAATGGACAAAGAACCGAAGCAGGAATAGAGTGAGAAGAATGTTGGATTTGGACACAGGAAGTTACAGCATCCCTGCCCTAAAACCCCTCCCTGCTTTAAACCTCCATAAACACTCCATTCATCTTCTCAAAGATAAACTCTGAGTTCTTAGCATGACCCTTAGGGCCTACATGACTGGGTCCTTTTTGACCTCTATGAGAGGCTTCAAAAACTTCATAGAGAAATGCTAACCTTCTCTTAGGCTTCCTCCTTCCCCTCTTCACACAGCCAGTCCTGGTGTTTTAAGCCTCCCCAGCTCCCTCTCCTGTGAGCCTTCACAGACCCTCCACCCTACAACTCTCTAACTCCCCTCCTCCCGTTAACCCGCTGGAGCAGGAAGATAGTGCCTCAGGTTTGCAGAGCAAGCGTCTGACCAGAGCTGGATGACACCGTAGGCAGACAAAGATGTGTGGATACCCGCAAGGCCAGGTGCACACCAAACACATGCCACAGACAGACACACATCACACACACATATCATATATACACAGACACACACAACTTCACAATAGGCAGCTTTGACGGCCTTCCTCCTGTTCATTTGCCTTTTAGTGCATTTTCGTAGAAATTACACATGAAGGATTCCTGAATCTTCCCAGCTCTTAGGAACCTTGAAGGTCTTGTTCTAGCTTTACCCCTTCTGCCAGATGTCTCTGCCCCAGTTCCCAGCTCACTTCCCTCCCTGGTTCTTCCCCTCCACATTGTGATCTGGAGGGCAGGGCCTGCAGCTGTCACCCAGGAGGCCCTCAGAAACGACTGGAAAACAAAAGAGATGCCAGTGAGGGTCCAGCTCCACCAAGCACTGCTGTGAGACCTAGCTATCTCCCACCCTCTGAGCCTCAGTTGCCTCAGCTGTCATGTGACGGCAGCCTGCGGAAAAGTTGTTTGGCCTAGGTCAGCGGTGCTGTCACCTCACCAGAAGCAGGTGGTCTAGGGGGCTCTTTGGAAACCTTTGACACACTGGGAATATAAAGGCGGAAACCTTAAGGTCCTCACACCAGAAGGAGCCCCCTCAGTCTCGGGTCCCACCCCCGCCCCGTCCGGCCCCGCCCTCTCCGCTGCCCCACCGCTCCCCTCGGTGCCCCGCCTGGTCCGCTAGCACCCACCTGCAGCCGGCTGAAGCTCGCTGGGACAGATGTTCCCGCGCGCCGAGATGCAGCCTCGGCTGTGGCTCCTCCTCGCTGCGCAGCTGGCAGGTAATGAGGGGAGGGGGCGAGGCGCGCGGGAAAGGGCAAAGTCTGAGGGACGAGCGTGGGACCCTGGAAGAGCCTGAAGGTACAGTTCAGAGATAGATGTGCCCTCGGGGACCAGAGCCCCAGGCTGTGGGAAACCCAAAGGGGGCGGTGGGGAGGACCCTCATGATTCAATTATCTCAGGGGTCTAAGGTCGCCAGGCTGAGGCCACCTATTTCTAAAACCTGAACCTTGGGAAAGAGGCGTTAGGAAAAAAGGAAGGCGGACAGAGGGAAAGAAGGGTCATGAAAGCAAGGAAAATGCCCTTGTCCAGGGTTCCAACAGGGATGTGCCCCTGGGAAGGTTCCAAGGACCAGTTCTGGCTTCCCTGCCCCACACTGCCTAGGCTGAGCGTCTGTAGATGCTTTTTAAACTGCTTCCGGGAAAGTGTCTGTCTGTAATCTGCCCCAGGTTGTTGGAAGTCTTGTAGTGTTGATGATTTTCCCAGGTTTTCTGTAGTCCCTGGTATAGACGATCATGTGTAGTATGGCTCTGGAAAAAAAAGCAATTCTGGAGTTGGGATGTATGCCAGAGTCCTTGGGTTAAGGCTGGTCAGATTGACTTCCTTGGAAGAAGCTGCTCCAAACAGCCCACTAACCTGTGGTTCTTTTGCTCTCATGCTCCAAAAGCTCAAAGTTGGTCACACTGCCAGAGGGTGAATAGGCCTGCCTGCCCCAGTCGCTGACCCAGTGAGCTCAGTATTATTTCAAACTATTAGTTACCGCCGATCATTCTAGAAACAGCAGGTTCCTCTAAAGAATGGCGTCATTGAGCTATTGAGAGGACCAAAGGAGTCCAATCAGATGGCATACATGCCAAGGCCTGAGTCTGTGTCCAGTAAGGGATCAGCTGCATTTCGTCTTCTGAGACAGAAAGGCAAGTGGGACAAGAGAGGGGTCAGTATGTGTCACATGAGGACAGCAAAGGGGAAATGCACACCCACAGAGCAAGGCCTCTCCTAAGGAGAGGAGTCCACTTCAAGGAGGCCTTGGGAATGACCATTTCTCCAGGAGAAATTCACAGGTTTGAAGTCAAGGAGAGACTCAAAGCTCAGGTTCTAGAGTCCCTTGACCTGGTTTGAATTTGGATCCACCACATACAGGCTGTGTAGCTTGGAGCACGTCCTTCACTTCCCTGAGCCTCTGTCCCCTCATGTGTAAATGGCTGTAAAACAGTACTTTCCTCACAGAATTTGTTGATGTAAATGAGATGATGAATGTACCATGCTCAGCACAGCATTTGTGTTGGGCCAGCTCAACAAATATTGTCAAAATCGATTCCTATTACCCCCTGAAAAGATCAGTGACCCCAAACATTTAAGAACCTCTGCGCCACTGAACAGGCATTATGGTGTTTGTAGAGAGACGAGAAGGCCAAGCAGCCATTTAGTCCCCAGATACCACTGTACTCACAATGCAAGAGAAGTTTCGAGTTATCTGTGGCTGAAGTAAAAAAGTTTAAGTTTATTACATTTGTGTCAGAGAGGCCACTATAAGGCCATGGAGCCTGAACCGAAAGCAGTCAGTCAACTCCTTGGGCCTCCTCTACTGCTCCGGCATGCTGTTCTCTCTGGACCTCCTGCTTCTAGGGGTCCTCATCTGCAGGCTCTCAGTCTGCCCACAAATAACATGAATGCCCCACCAGGTCAGGGTTAGTTTGTTGCCTGTGAACAAGACCCATTCTGATCCTTAACCTTGAGATTTCGTTTGCTGCTGGTAACAACCCGAGATGTGAGATGCATGTTCAATGATTTACTCATGTTTAGTACTTCACAGTTTGCAATGTGTTTTCTTACAATTTTCCCATTGCTTCCCAACTCTAATAGACAGGCAGGGTAATAGCACCAAGTGGTCCTTTTAGAGGGAGGACAAGCTCAGTGACTTGGCCAAGGTCACACGACTGCTTAGCTTCAAGGCCAGGTCTGTGGGAACAGACACCTGCTTGCTGAGTGTTTTCCATCTGAGATAAAAATAAACCCCCAACCCTGCTTCCACTCAGAAATGAAGACCCAGTGACGAATGGAATGGAGGGTGGAACTTGTTGGGTCAGCTACTGATGGGCCCTAATTGTGCCCACCAGGGGATGGTGAGTTCCCTTTGCTGGTTGTCATCACTGTCCAGAGCAGTGGCTGATCCTCTTGTAGGTTGACAGACCAGCCATGTGCTCTGCCTTCAATGTTGAGATTCTCTTCAGCTTGCCCTGAGTCCCTTTCAGCCATCAGGGGCCCACTGAAGATCTAGACATGGAGAGGTAACAAGGTCCAGGGAAAGGCATTCAACTTTGGCTTCTGACTGAAACCCACAGTTTGAATCCTAGCTATACAAGCAACTTGCACAAGAAACTTCATATCTCAGTTTCTTCATCCATATGTTGTTGTTAAGTGCCGCCGGGTTGGTTCCAACTCACAGTGAACCTCTATAGGGTTTTCTGAGGCTTTAAATTTTCAAGGGAGTAGAAAGCCTTGTCTTTCTCCCACAGAGCGGCTGGCGAGTTTGAATCGCACACCATATGGTGGTGGTGGTGGTGTGCCGTGGAGTCAGTTCCAACTCATGGCGACCCTGTATAGGGTTTCCGAGACTGTAAATCTTTACAGGAGTAGGATGCCTCATCTTTCTCCCATAGAGCAGCTGGTATATTTGAACTACCTACCAGGGCTCTCATATCCCAAAGCAGGTTTGAAGCTTGGTTGAGATCATTTATGCAGTAACCAAGGCATATAAATATGCAATCAACGCCCAGCAGCACATCTCCCCCCTGCCCCTTAGTAAAGTTGGGAGGAGAGCGTGACAGAGGGGAACATACAAGCTTTGAGTCCCGGAATCATCAGCTGTATTTAACACAGTTCCTGGACCCTGTAGTGGGGTACGTTCTTCCATAGCTTTTCCTGTGATTCTGTGACTCAGTTAACTCCAGGACCCATAACTGATGCCAGGACAACATCCTAATGGTCTCTGCTATTTCTGGCTTCTCATAGCTCTCCACGGTAGCACGGCACTCCACCAGATGCCTGGGTCTCTAATGGTTAAGACCAATGAAACAGCGGTCCTGTCTTGTGAACCAAAAACCTCCTCTAGCACGCGCATCTACTGGCTGAGACAGCGAACGATCCTGAGCCCAAACAGTCACTATGAGTTCCTGGCCTTCTGGGATACCATGCAACTACGGGCTGTGCTTGGCCAAGAGGTCGGGCACGAGGTGCTAACAGTGTCTCAGAGTGGGCCTCGGTCCACTCTCAGCCTCACGAGGGCCAAGCCTTCGGACAGTGGCACTTACTTCTGCATGACTGTTGGGAACCCCCAGCTGACCTTCGGAAAGGGAACACATCTGAAAGTGGGTAAGAATCTGACTCAATGTTCCAGACATGCTTTGCAAAGGTGGGCTCTGGAATTGCCTTGTTGGTAGTGAACCTCCTCTCTGCCAGGAGGAATAGCACTGTGTGGAGCCTTACCCAGAGCCAAGCATGTACAAATGCTATACTTATGAGTGGTTATCTCATTTGATGCTGCCAACCCCTTGTAGGTAGGGACTACTCATATGCCCATTTTACTGATGAGGCTGAAAAAGTTGGATCATTCAGGGTCAGAGATGGACCCACTACTTTTTATAAGGACAAGGTAGTGATTATTCTGAGGCCACATCAAAGTCACCCTGAGGCTGTGGCTGAATTCGGTGGTCTCAGAAATCCTACAGAGTGTACACACAGGGAAAGAAGGGTCTCACTTCCCCGACGAACCCAGTGAGAACACTTCTGCCCTCACATTTGGCCAGCCCACACCCTGAGTTGTAGGGAGTGAGAAGACTTAGTCCCAGACCAGTTCTGCTGAAAATTCCTGTATTGAAATTTGGGTTTTTTTGTGGATTTGAGATTTTGATTTGGTGTTTTGTCTGATCTCAAGATCTCAGGGTTCAAGAAAGGGAGATAATGAAATGAACAAAAGTGATTTTCAGAGCTTTCCCAGGACACACTCTTGGCCCAAACTACCTCACATTGCAAAGCACATCTCAGGAACGGCAGTCCTTCCCCGAGGATGAGGATGTGTTTGTGCCATAATGTCTCCCCCATCCATGGGAAGGGGCGATAGGGTGTTCCTTCTGTAGCACCAGGCAGTGTAAAGCAGGGTAAGTGCAGAAGTGTTTAGGGAGAGAAGGCCTTTCTCAGGCCCCTTAAGCACATCGTGGGTGCAACAGACCTATCCCTTTCAAGGGGAAGAGCTATCTGAGCTGAGGGGTAGGAGGAATCGGAAAGATCCGTCTCTGGATAAGGAGAAATTATAACAGCACAATCCCCAAAGCCCAGGTCGCTGTGCCCACCACAGCACTGAGATTCTCACCACTGTGCTTGCTTGTCTATGAAGCAAGGGGAACTGTGAGGATTAAATGAGGTAACACTCCTAGCACAGGGCCAAGCTCCTTGCAGATTGAGTGGACCATACATAACTGGTGCCCTTTTTCCTATTATAATTGTTACCCTCAGCACTCTGCTGACCAAAGACCTTGGGCCGACTTAATGTGTTCAACTTTCTGTCAGAAAACATTTTCACACAGGCAGTGTGGCATTATGAATGTACAAGTTCTACAATCAAATTCTTTGGGTTCAGATTCCCTGGGTGGAATCTGAATAGTTAGTATGCTACACTGTTAACTGAAAGGTTAGAGGCTCAAGTCCACCCAGAGGAGCCTCAAAAGAAATGCCCAGTGATCAACTTCTGAAAAATCATCCACTGAAAACTTTATGGAGCACAATTGTACTCTGATACACATGGGGACATCGTGAATCGAAATCAACTTAATGACAACTGTATGTTGTTGTTGTTTTTAAACTTTGGGCATTATTTAGCTCTCTGAGTCTGCATTTCCTTATGGATAAAATGAGACTAAAAGTTATTGAATTCAATAAACTTAAGCTGAAGTGCTTAGCTCTGTCATCAGAACATGGTAGGAACTTAGAGTTAATTCTAGTTAATTAGCTTTTTCTAGAAACCTCACAAAACAGACAGAGCAGATAATGTTTTCTCCATTCACCAGAGGAACCCCAGGGAGGTGAGATTCAAGGGGTCCACTTTTTACATGGATGATGCCAGCCCCCACACGACGGACTGCCTCTCCTTGCCCCCTGACTCTAGAGTCGAAGTTCACGGTGTCACTCTTTTCCTTATCCCTGTATTTTGCAGAAAATCATTTCAGTGAAATTTCTTTGCTCAAACCACAAAGGCAAAGCCAGACCCTCAAGTGGCACAGACCCAGACTCCAGTTCCTCAGGGCCCCCAGCATCTCTGTGTGGTGCTCCCACTGCCCTCCCAGCACTTTAGGATGTGACAGGTCAGAATGACAGAGTGGAGCGCCCCTCCCAGGAGTTAGGAGACGAGCTGGAGGCCTCAGCTCGGTACTTTCCTGTGAGGCTTTGGGTCTGGCCCCCACCTTTCTGATATTCATCTTTGAAATTAAATTTTGAGACTAGACAAAAGGTCCCTTCCTACTAGAATGTTTTATGATATTTAGGGACACCTGAGAAGGAAAACAAATCCCCAAATTTGCACTTTGTCTGGTGGTATACATGTAGAAACAACCACTCATCTCCTTTCTAGGAGCTAGCCCTGCTTGCTTCTAGGTTGCAGTGTGGCTTGGGGGTGCTGCTCGTACCAAGGGTGGAGCAGCCTAGCCCAAGGGATCCAATCGGGCCCCAAAGCCTACAGATACATCTGAGAACTGGGAAAGCTGATAAAAAATTCTATTTCTCTGTCATCACCAACCCCTGAAGCAGTCTAGGGAACGGTTAACAGTCAGAAGGGCATCAATATCCAAAAGGAAAGCCTACAATTTTAAGTTTTATCTATAAATCTGCCCAATATTTAGAGTCCTGGTGTGGCACTGTGGTTAATGCGCTGAAGTGTAAAGTCGATTTTAATCACAAGGTCAGCAGTTCGAGCTCATCAGCGGCTCCTTGGAAACCCTATACAGGGTCGCTATAGGTTAGAACTGACTCAACAACACTTAACAACAACAACAACCCAATACTTACCTGAATAAGATATGTGTCTTTTTTTCATTGTGTAGTTGATGTCCTGCCCACCACTGCCCAGCCCACCAAGAAGACCTCTCCCAAGAAGAGAGTATGCCGGTTCCCAAACCCACAGCCTCGGCAGGGTGAGTTCTCCCAACCCCCCACTCACCCCCACACTCTCAGAAGCATGGCGGAAGTTTTTACGCATACCATTCCTTCCCTGCTTCATTCATCTCTTCAGCAAGCATTTTCCCTATGTTGATTCTGTATTCTGTCTCGGACACCATGCTAAGGGCAGAAGGGAAACGGAGTCTAACAGCAGTGCCCAATCAAGTGGGGGACAGACTCAAAAATCATCACAGGACAAAATTCAGTGGAGGACATATTCATACAAAAAGTTACACATGAATGTCCACCAACTGATGAATGAGTAGACAAAATGTGGTTTATTCTTATCATTAATATTACTTGGCCATGATAAAGAATGATGTACTGATGCATGTCACAACAGGGATGAAACTTGAAAACATGCAGTGAAAGAAGCCAGTCACAAAAGTCCACATATTATATGATTCCATTTATATATGAAATGTCCAAAATAGGCAAGTCTGTATAGACAAAATGTAAATAACAGTTGCCTAGGACTCAAAGATTCCTGGTGTCGTGCTATAGGATAAGCACTGGACTAGCGTAGTGGTTACGAATTGGGCTGTGAACCTTAAGGTCAGCGGTTCGAAACTACCAGCTGTACCGCGGGAGAAAGATGAGGGTTTCTACTCCCGTAAAGATTTACACCCTCGGAAACCCTATACAGGGTCGCTACGGGTCTGAAACGACTCGATGGCACATAACAACAACAACATTAATGGAAAGGTCATCAGTTCAAACCTACCAGCTGCTCCTCAGAAACGAAATAGAGTTGCTAGTCAGAGCTGTCTCGATGGCACTTAACAAAAACAACCACCACAGGACACAGGGAAGGAGAAAATAGGGAATGACACCTAGTGAATGTGGGTGGACAATTAGATTTTGATGATGGTTACAAAACCTTTAAATCCAGGTAGTCCCCAATTTATGACAGCGTTCCACTCCAATTATTCCATCATAAGTCGGTTCTCATGTAAGTTGAATGCCTTTTCTCCCTTATTAATTGCTTTTATTGACAATTTATATAAATATTTATACATCATGCAGTGTTTTGAACAGTAAATAATAAATTGAACATCTGTGAGTAGACCTCTGAGAATTATCCAAACCAAAACCCACTGGATCAAATGGAATCCAAGTAGTGGTTATAAATTGGGCTGCTTACCGCAAGGTCAGCAATTCAAAACTACCAGCTGTTCCACAGGAGAAAGATGAGGCTTTCTGCTCCCGTAAAGATTTACCTCCTCAGAAACCCTGTACAGAGTCACTATGAGTCTGAACCGACTCCATGGCACATAACAACAACAACACAGGACAGATTAGACCTACCCCACAGAATTTCCAAGACTGTAAGCCACTCCTCGGAAACCCTCTAAAGGGTTGTTGAGTCAGAATCTACGGTTAGTAAATCTTTATGGGAAAAGACGGTCATGTCTTTCTTTCACGAAGCAGCTGAAACCATTTGGTTAGCAATTGAGTGTTTAATCACAGCATTAGGAGAACTCCTTTTGAGACTAAGACCAGTAAATCTCACTCTGCAAAACATCACTAATGAAAGTATGTAAACAAAAAACAAGTAGATGGTCGTTAAGTACAGTTCGTCGTAACTCAAGTACATGCAACAATCTACCTGTGTTCTAAAAAATTATTGGATTATGCAATTTAAGATGATGAACTTTATAATATGTAAATTATACCTCAGTAAACCTGTTAAAAAAAAAAAACTCAGCCCAAAGGACCAGCTCTTTAAAATTTTCATGTTTTGATGCCTAACAGAGAGCATAACTTATACACTGTGTGTGCTTAATAGTATGCTTGTGAATGAGTAAATAATTGTGTTTCTCTGTGCTACAATCATCAGACACTACAGTTGAATACACACACACACATATACAGACACACCCTCACACACATGCACACTTTCCTTGAGCCCATTGGCCCAAATGTGTTCTTGGAAAAATACCAACTTCTACCATGATAGTTACTGGTAGCAAACAGAAAATGTCACCAGCTCCTACCCATAGAACAAACCACCAGAAACCACGCCAAGGTTCCTCCACCTCACCCCACCCATGTCACTTGAGCTGCTTTGTCAGTGCTAGCCAGAACTCAAGGGGACAGCCTTTTGTATTCTTGAAGTTTTCTGCTTTTGACAGAATGTAGTCTTAACCACTTTTCTATGTCTTGCTTTAATGGAAATATTTGAGTTTTCCTCTTCTGTTGGTTTCTACCTTATACAGTTTCCAGCTTTCATAGGTCTTACTTCATAAAGTACCAGAAACTGTCTAAAACTCTAAAGAGGGGCACCTAGTAGGATCTAGGAGAGAGCAATGGAAAGCTACCACATGAGCTCACAGACCAAATCCTTAGGAACAAAAAGGTGGAGACAGAGTGGCCTCATTTTATAAAGCATTTCTGCCCTAACATTTCCTTAGAAGAGTTCAGACAGAGCACCATTAAAAAGAACGCAAAACATTTAAGACAAGCAAGCAAACCTGATTGAAGCAAAGAAAAATCCTCCAAGTCACATCCCTCTCCAAGTTATGATAAAAAGCAGATGTGGGGAGCCTCTTTTCTGCCAAAATTTGTAACATAATTTGCAGGCCATACAAAATTATCAACTTGAAAAATTAGCCTGCTATGTTTGGTCAAACATTTAATTAACTAAGCACTCAACTTCAAAGTCAGTTTGAACCGTAAGGTCAGCAGTTCAAACACACCAGCTGCTCCTTGGAAATCCTTTAAGAGTCTCTATGAGTTGGCTAGAACTTGAGTTGCCTTGGCAGAGCCAGACCAAATGATTTCAGAAGCCTTATATGGCCTTTAAGGGACCCTGGTAGTGTAATGGTTACAAATCAGGCTGCTAACCTCAAGGTCAGCAGTTTGAAACTACCAACTTTTCCATGGGAGAAAAATGAAGTTTTCTGCTCCCATACAAATTCACAGCCTTGGAAATATTATGTAGGATCTCTATGAGTGGGAAACGACTCCATGGCACACCACCACCATACAGCCCTTGGCAAAGGAGTAGCCCTGGACATCAAAAGCTGACCCTTCATCCTAACACAAAATCCTAGTAGGAATCTGCTCTATCCATCCTCACATAAAGGACCATTGTTGGTAAGTGTCATTGAGTTGATTCCGACCCATAGCAACCCTGTATAGGGTCTCCAAGGAGCGGCTGGTGAACTTGAAAAAAAAGTTTTCTAATTTCTTATAGGACTCATGGTGTGGCGCTGTAGGATAAACACTGGACTGCAAACCACAAGGTCAGCAGTCCAAACCTACCAGCTGCTCTCAGAAATCCTATACAGTGTTGCTATGAGTTTAAACCAACTCAGCAACACTTAACAACAACAACAGCTTCTTATAGGAGACCTGGTGTGGTGCTATAGGATAAGCACTGGACTGCTTAATTGAAAGGTCAGCGGTCAAGCCCACCAGCTGCTCCTCGGAAACTCTAAACAGGGTCACTTTGAGTCAAAATTGACTCAATGGCACGTAACAACAGCAACAATAATTTCTTATAATCAATCTAGGACAGAATGTGAATACATTAGTATTCATTCTGTTATGCATGGGACATGACTTGGGACAGCAAACAACTACAAGAAAGCCGAATGTATGTGAGGGTGGACAAGTGAAAGTTGCACAGGAGAGGAAGTTGGGGTTAATGTGTTCTAATGGTAACTCAGCCAAACACAGTACTGACTCTTTGTCTAATACTGCCTATACTATGTGACCTTGGGCAAGTCATTCAACCTCACTGAATCTCCAATTCCAAGTCTGTAAAATCCCTTTACAAGGAAATGGTGAGAGATGCAATACATTAGGCACTCTGAGCTTGCTGGGGCACCCAGGCAGAGTTCAAAGTTTGTCATAAATAAACCCACAGGACTGCCACAGGATGGAGCATGCCTTTTAAGACTTAGGGCTGCCCCTTGAGATAACATCAGTAGCTCTGGAGGATGATTTGTAAACTGCTCTCTCAGAAGCAGGGTGTTGAGAACCAGATGAAGGAGACCCCTGAGGGCCCAGCAAGGCAGGACAGGCCAAGCTAAGAGCATCTGTGGTGTACCTCTGGCAGCTGGCTCCCTGATCACACAGGCTTCTCACTCCCTTTACAAAAAAAGTAGCAGCTTTTTCTGGACTCACATTTGGGTGCATTTCTCTTTGCCTATACCAGAAGAGAAATATGTGGTTACATACCAAATTGATGATGATGCATACTTCCGTAGAGGAGCTGGGATGTCAAGACACACTTTTACCAGATATTGAAATGTTTGACAATGAAAATAAATTCAGCTATTTCTTGTGAAATTAAAATAAAAGGTTTTTTTGTTTGTTTGTTTGTTTAAAGTAAAAATCCTATTGTTGTTGTGGTTGTTAAGTCCTGTTGATTCAGTACCGACTCATAGCAGCTGGTGGATTTGAATTGCTGACCTTGTGGTTAGCATTCCAGTGCTTATCCTACAACACCACACCAGGACTCCTAAAATGCCCAAAATCAAGCAGGAAAATTATCTACCTCCTTTGAATAGAAATAGCTACTGAATTTAATTAATCTCTTTTAATTTGCATATGGGGCATGAAATATTATGCATAGAATTGTCATGACGATGTTTAAAGTGCATAGTTAAAAAGCTAGAAAGGTGCTTTTTTGAGGGGGCTTCAAAAACTTTATGGAAAAATAGAATTAAAAGATGATGAAAAATTTCCAGACTTTTTGAAGGCCTCTGGTACAACATAAGCTAATGTTGATATTCTCTGGGAGCTGGATTTGTCATTGATTTCTTCTTGGATTCATTTGCTTGTACAGCACTCAATTGTTCAGTAACGAGCAGGTATCTCCTGTTTTTTCCAGGTCCATCTTGCAGCCCCATCATACTTGGTCTCCTAGTGGCTGGCATCCTGGTTCTGCTGGTGTCCCTGAGTGTGACCGTCCACCTGCACTGTTAGTCCCCTTAGGATGCCATGGTGACCCCTTTGCTGTTTGAAGTGTCCTTGAGGGTACTCTTTTCTCTGGGGAGCAAGGCTGATGGCAGCCTAGTAGACATTTCCACTTGATAGAAACGTGACTCTTGATTCTTGACCTGAGGCCCCATTGCTGACTCTGGTACCACCCTGTCCATGGAGTTGACTAGCCTGGCTTTGATCCAACTCTGCTGCGGGCACCCTGGCCTCTCTGAGGATAGATAACATAACCTCCTACAGTTTCTACCTGTAAAGTCTTCCCAGGGTGCCTGGCATGTGGTCTGTGCTCAGTTAGTGGGAACTTCCTGGGATCAGAAGTTCAGTGCATGGAAGGGACTCTGGGTGCGGGTTTGAGTTATATTCCCAGAAATCAGAAATCCTCCCAATCAATGAGGGAAACTCAAAGATGGCTGCTGCTCCCTTATCCCAGATTTGCTATGAGTGGAAACCAACTCCACAGCACTTAATAACAACAGCTAGACTTTGCATAGTACTGGGTTTATGGTAAAGGCAGACAGCTGGAAAGCTGACCCCCACAAAGATCCAGACTCTAGCCCTGGTTCTGCTGCTCTTCTGGGCCACCTTGACCATGTCCCTTCCCATCTGGGCATCTAGAAAGTAGGAGGAGTGTGTCAGGAGCATGGGCAAAATTAATGGTTCTTAACTTTTATGAGTCACAGACCCCTTTGAACACGGTGGCAATTATGAAGCCTTTCCACAGAGCAACACACCTGTGCATACAGTTTGCCGTACTATCGCCCCTCATGAAGGAAGGGCTCTGTTACTCCCACTGAAGTCTAGGAGTCTGAAAGCTCTTTTGATCAGATATATGCTCAGTAAAAAAAAAAAAAAAAAAGTGAATATGAACTGAAATTCAATGTATTTATTGATTAAATAGATTAGACATGTTATTAAATATGCCTTCAAAAATAAAGGAGGTGATGGATGGCCATGTAGATGAACATGTTTATATTGCCTTCCTTAGTCCCAGTGGGAGGTGTGGCACACCTCCTGTGTACACGTGCTCTAGTTGAAGAAGGCTAAGAGCCTTGTGGGTTAAGCGCTGGGTTGCTAACCAGAAGGTCAGTGGCTCGGAACCACCAGCAACTCTGAAGGAGAAAGAGGAGACCATGTGCTTACGAGGATTTATGGCCTCTGAAACCCTAAGACACAGGTCGACTCTACCCTGTAGGGTTGCTATGAATTGGAGTCGACAACAAAGCAGCAGGTTGTTTTTTGTTTTTTTTAAGTTTTTATTGTGAATTAAGTGATAGTTTACATAGGAGAACATCAGCTTTACATTCATCCTATAATATTTCATTTCACTGCAATGATTACAGTCCCTTCCATGCATCATCATTCAACAGTATTTACTTCCATTCCCTCTGTTTCGTTTTGTTTTTGGATATACACCGAAGTCCTCAGGAATATAGAATATATAACCATTCAAACAACCAAAGGTTATTCCCCACAAGCCAGCCCCTGGGTCATCAGCACACAGCACCTCTCTCTCCCTGAGTACAGAGTCCCCAGCCGCTCCATCTGTCCACATCATCGTACACGTCATCGTCTCTACCTCCATTCTGGCATCACTGCTTCTCTGGATAGGGTCCCGCACTCCGCTCTACCAGGTGGTTTTGTTTTGTTTTGTTATCCGGAAGGGCAGGCTAGCGTGTTCAAGGGCACAGACTGTGGAGCAGATGAACTGAGCTGGAATTCTGCCTTTTCCATTCACTCATTGCATGACTTTGGGCACTCACCTACCTTGTGCTTCAGTTTCCCCATATATAAAATATTAGCAGAACCCCCACTGACAGACTTGCTGTGAACCTTAAAGAAGTTATTGCTTGAGAAGCGTGCAGGGCAGAGCCAGGCAATGAGGGTAGTCCCTGTCACACCCTCTCTGGTCTCTGGGACTTAGCATTGATAGTCAACAGTTTGCTCTGACTGGGGCCTTTGCTTTCCTCTACAGGTCGTTGGCGGAGAGCCCGGCTTCGCTTCGTGAAACAGTAAGTGCTGGGGACCTCACAAAAGCAGCCCGCTGTGCCCTAAATGTAGTCCTGGGTTCCTCACTGCCTGCTGCTGCTCACAGCCTCTCACTGCAACCAGGACCCAAAGCTCAAACAAGGCCTTCTAAAACCCAAAGGCTGCACAAATACATGGGTGAGAGAGTTCAGGCACAGAGACAACGTAAACAAAAACCCTGAATCCTCATTTACATATTTTCCAGTGCTTAGGTTTAGCTCTCAGCTCTCCCAGTGATAGCAGTCAGCCCTGCCTTTCACAGAATAGTGTATGCCAGACATCACAAATTCTGTCCCATCCATTGTTTTATTTCACCTGGTCCTGCCTGAAGCAGGAAATTTTTTGCCCCCATTTTACAGATCAGTGGACACACCTGCTCAAAACCTAGGAAGGTTTGCTCCAAATCCTAGGATTCAAGCTAGGAAAGCGCAGAATCAGATTTAAAGACAAACTGGTTCCCTCAAGGCTCTTGTCCTCACCCAGCAGTGCCTACCTTTCTCAGATGCTGCTGGTGTTGAACAGTGGCCAGCCTTGGTCTTTGACTCCACCTGGGTCCAAGAGCTGGCAAACCCACAAGGTTGAATCACATAGATGTGGTTGAAAGTCACTCTTTCAGCTCTCCGAGGTGAATAAGCAAATGCAGAAGCAAGAGACTAATGTTAGAGCTCAGAAGCCACCTCAAGATCTTCCAGTCTCGAGGTCTTCCAACCCCACAATGAGTCCCTGGCCTTGACCTGGGATTTAACTTTCCTTCCTTAAAATAGAGACTGTTACCCATTTGTCTACTTCATTGCTTATATTTGTTTCTTAGAACAGCCCCTTTCTATAGGGAAGAGTTTTATGCACATGCTTTCAGAGCCAAGAGGGTAATAGGACCACTGTTCACGAGGTCTGGCTTTGGTGTGAGGCAGCTCTGGGCTCGAGTCCAGCCTGCCAGTGACTAACCCTGTGATTGTAGGTGAGTCGGTCCACCACTCTAAGCCTCTGGTACCTCATCTGTAAAATAGAATAACAGTACCGGCCTCATGGCTGTTGTGAGAACTTTCTGAGGTAATGCTCTTGAACTGCTTGGCATCTGGTTCCATGCTCAAAACTTACATACATTCAACTGTAACCCTACAGTCATGAAGACGATGCAGGACTGTCCTGTCGTACACAAGTTAACTAGGTGTCAGAGATGACTTCACAGCACCCTAAAAACAAGAAAGTCAACCCTATGAGCCCATCAGTCAAGAAACAAAAAATATTTTTAAGTACCCTAAAATTATAATTTTCATATATGGTGGTAGTGGTGGTGGTTCTGTGCCATGGAGTTGGTTCCGACTCATAGCAACCCTGTACAGCGTTTCCCTGGCTATAAATCTTTATGGGCACAGAAAGCCTTCATATATATGCTATTCTAATTCTATATATTATTGTGCACATATATTTGTATGTAATAATTTACAAGCTATAGTTGCTAAAACATGCACTTTTATTCTATGGGCAATTTTCAATCATAATTATGACTTTGTATGATTTCCAGTTTATACACTGAATTTAGAAACTACTCCCTCCTTAACCAATAATGGCTTCAGTGTATTTTTCTGAATCTATAGAGTCCTGGTGTGGCACTGTAGGATAAGCACTGGGCTGCTAACCTCAAGGTTTGCAGTTCAAGCTCCCCAGCTGCTCCCCAGAATCCCTATATAGAATCGCTATGAGTTGGAACCGAGTCAATGATACTTAGCAACAACAACAGACCTCCAGAAAGTTCTGTTCCGAAATCTTCCCCACAATGTTCTTCTGTGGGAAGTGAGTCCCCCCAAGGTACTACTGCCTGTGGTTCTGCACCACACCACACCCCTCTGTTAAACTTGTTCCCCATAACCTGGCACCAATTTTGGATGCAGAACCTCATTCTTTGGAAAGCCCAGGTATTCTGAGCACGCATCTAGGTGGAGAAGGAGCTGAGGGTGGTCTGAGTGGGCCCTGAGACCCTCAGTCTTTTCACTCATCTGTTGTCTGTGTTTACACTTCCCTCTAAGATGTCATTTGAACAAAAGGGTCTGTGGCTTTAAAAAAAAAAACAGTTTGAAAACCGCCTCTGGTTTTGCTATAATGATCCAGGTGCAGATAGAGCAATCTATTGGCCTCACAGAATGGCTGTTGCAAATTCAAGTTGTGATTTGGGGCAGATGTTCCCCGACTTCTAATCATCCTGTGAAAATTATCCCATTTTCAGGTCACCTTCTTCTGACTCCTTCCTGTTCATTTGTAAATAAATAGCTTATCTTCCAAGGTATTGCAGCAGGTAACACTATTCAAGGCTGATGGCCTTGAGCTTTTGATTTTTTTAATTACAAAGATAAGCCCTAAAAAATGTACAGGGGTCCCTGGGCGGTAAAATTAATGTACTCAGTAACTAAAGGGTAGGGGTTCTAGTCCACGCAGTGGTACCTTGGACAAAAAGTCCTGGTCATGTATTTCAAAAAACCAACCATTAAATAAAAACCCAGTGGTGCACTGGTCAACACATGCAGCTACCATGGGTCAGAAAATCAACAAGAGGACAAATGGTTTGTTTGTTTGCTTGTTTGTTTGTTTAAAGCATTAACAAGGAACTCTTGGCCCCAGGCTGTTTAAAGTAGATCTCTGCATCTTGGTTTGCCATTTGTCTCTCTTACAGGAAATTCAATACTATTTGTCTAAAAATAAGTGGTTTCACAACTTATTGTTTTTCAGCCTTTACAGATGAGCTGCGGATATGCTTGGGGTGTCCTGCATTGGTCAGTAATGAATAAGAACTGGAAAAAAGGAGAGGGAAGGGACACAGTAACCAGGGAGATTTCACTGATCTGCTGAAGCTGCCTGCTTTGAACTACTACAGGCTCTTTCTGTGGGCCTCACTCCTGGGAGCAACTTGCTGGCTGTCCATCAGGAATCTTACAGGCTGTGCTGGAAGACTAATTGGGAAATGCCACCTTGACACAACTTCCAACTTCTGATCCCTGCATTCGCCCAGGACCGGGCCAGAACTTTGGTACTAGCCATTAGCTTCCATCTTTAGGTTCCAGTTGCTTTGCCCTGGTAAGGCAGTGACAGTGGGCCTTGGATCTCTTATGGGGTGAGGCTGAGATGGCTTCCCCTTGGTGTCTCCAGGATGGAAACAACCATCCTCACAAAGAGCTCCAGAGACCAAACCGAGTGTGGGAATGAAACTTTGTGAGAGGGGCTGACCTGCCTCCCAGGCACATCTCAGGGGAGATGTTACTTCATCTCCCATAAGAAACTGTCTCAGCTATCTCTTCTGCTTTCCCATGGCTTGTGTATTTCTTCTCCCAATTGCTGTACTCTTCAAGAAAATGTCTTAGATGTAAAAATAAAGCCCTGAATAATTGCAAAAGGCTCCTATGGGGTGAAAGCACAAAGCCATCTACAGCAAAGATGTTGCTGTTTGGCTCGAAAGGACTAAGGAGGAGAGCATTTGTGTGTCCCCACTTTTCATTTGAGGGGAGCCCTGCTGTGGTGTTGTAGGCTAATGCGCTGAACTGCAAAGTCAGTTTGAACTGCAAGGTCGCGGTTTAAGCTCACCAGCCGTTCCTTGGAAACCCTATACAGGGTCGCTATGGGTTAGAACTGACTCAACGACACATAACAACAACAACGACACCAACTTTTCATCTGAGATCTTCCATTACCTCTATGAAACCCTGTAGGTCACATGGTAAGTGCAGAGAAAGCTAAGACAGATTGGGAAGTACCTAGAGTCTGCATGTAGTAGTCCCCCGAGGGCCAACATGGACACAAAAAGCAGTTTTTTCCTTCCCCCAGCTCCACTCCCAAACTGCCTTTTCTAGCACCTGCCCATGTCATTGAGGGTTGAACCCCAGGAACTCCTAACCTCAAGGCAGCCTTACCCCAAAGAGAAGGTGAGAGGCATCAGGGTCTGTCGGTGTCCATATGCCCACTAATATTTTATCGCCTCTCAGCTTTGCCTGCTAGAGAGATAAAATGCTGATTTGTAATGGGGAGTGGAGATAAAGACCTGTGCCTTTTGAAAAAGTCACCTGGGTGGGTCTCAGCTTAGCCCCCTCACCCTGGGGTTTTTTCAGAGCCATGGAGCTGAAAAAGAATGTTGCATTACCAGAAATACCAAGTTGAGTCTCCAAGGAGAACAGAGGCCCACTGACTTTTCCTGGCCAGGTCAGAGCTGGGGCTACAATTGACAAAGGTCATTGGTGAACCTGGTTATGGTCACAGGCAGCCACAAATGAAAAACTCTTACAGATAACAGGAAAGATGGTAGGAGGCAAGGAGGAGTGTGGTCACCTTCCGGCATCTGATCAGGCTGTAGTGAGGAGTCAGAGGGCAGAGCAGAGTTAAGGGGAAAAGGGGTCAGCATAGAGCATCTCTGTGGGAGTGCTCCAGATAAACAAAAGCTTTCTGTCCACCAGTTCTAAGGATAATGGGATAGGCAGTCTCTCAGAGGATAAAGGGAGGGCCTCAGCTGTGTCATGTCTTAGGGGTCAGGATTGGCTGGACTAGATTCCGCTCAGGTTCATTTTAAAGATGGGTTTCTACTTCTGGGATATTCCAAGTAATAGATGAGAGACAAAAGTCTGGAAGTGTGGCTTGCCCTCCCTGAAGGCAGCTGAAGCAAGACCAGGCCACATGACCCCACATCTCAAGACGGATATTTAACTGAACTTCCCTACTGCTATCCTGACAATCTCATTGACTTGTTTGCAAGTTCTCCGAGGGCTGAGTTGGTGGCCAGGGTGGTTTGTAACTGCAGGCAGGTTCTGCTTGGTGGCCCCAGGGAGCCCGGAGTAGGCTGGGCTGTCAGTAGCAGGGGCTGCGGTAAGGAGGTCTGCACAAAGCACTTGACTTTTGTTTTGAAGGAGCTGAGCGGTTACTTCTTTGGGGGTGTCAGGGGCCATCATGGCAAAATATCAAAACATTTAATCTAAGTACTCTGTGACTAGCAATTCTACTTCTAAGCCATG